CCGTCCCGGCCCTATGTTCAGCAGGAGACTACATAGGGAACGAGAACCAGTCTAGTGTGCGAATTCCGCTATTCACAACCTCGTCTCCATGGTGTCAAGCAGCATGGCTACTCTGGACTGGAAACAGAGTAACAACTTGGGACAAGGTTGCATCATGCTGCATTGACTAGTCTTCATTCCAGCATTGATTTCATTGTTGCTTGCAAAAAATCTGAACATTACTGTGTTGTATTTATATCAGTGGTTGAAGATTTGACTCGAGCAGAGGTAATTTTGTGCATTTTGTTATGGTCTCGCCTGGTCTCGAGGGGGAGACCTTAGACTATGGCATCCGAGACCAAGACCAAGACCGGCACTTTCGAGACCAAGACCGGCCCTCCCAAGACCAAGACTTTGACACGGCGAGACCAAGACCGATACCGCAAAAAAAGGTCTCGAGACCGAAACCAGGTCTCGAGACCTACAACACTGATGTCAAAGTGTTTACACCAGAGGACTTGATTTCAAAACTTCTCTCAACAAGAAGGAAAATTCAGTATATTTTTTGACTGATATATTTTAAAGCACTTGAGAAATAACTTTTAAAAAATATAAGCCACAAAAAAAGAGCACAAAATTGACTGAAAATGATGAGAAAAGTTTGGCTCTCTTCATTCTCTTATCGTTAATAATCATTCTCACTATACAAGCATATCTGCCAGGTCTTATACCTTTCAACCACTAAAAATTATCTTGAAGTTTGGCTGCATCAAAAATTTATAATGAGTACAATGTTCGTTGTGAACGTCATATTTGACAGAATTTTTATGACGTTCAAAAATTTTGACAAAAAATGCATGACATATGAGAATGCCGAAAACACTGTCCCATGTAGTGCTTGAAAATTCCATGCACGATGTTCATTTTGCCGCTTATTTTGGAGATATCCCCACTGAAAACTAAATTAAAATTAACAACTCTGAGCATTAGATTTTCCTCACGAAATGTATTTTATGTCTCGGACATCTTTTTTTTTGAACGTCATTCTGAATGACCGATTTTCTTTCGAGAAACCCTGGTCCAAAGAGAAAAATCGCAGAGCATGGCCATTCCGTGGAGGGGCTCATGTATATTGAATGAAAAAGAGGGCGCACTATCTGGGTTGATGGCCATAATGCAGCGAAACGTTTCTCTAAAGCTTGTGTTGTACATCTATTGGATTTTACTCACTGTTTTTTTGCAGTTGATTTTTTTTACACTAATGACAGAATCGAATGACGTTCATGACTGCCGACTTTGGGACGTGATTACTTGTGAGAGGTATTTTTTACTTTCGTGATTATGTTTTTTATATGTGTAACTATTATCACCTTTCACCACATATAAATCTGTGTAAAATAACCGCAGGGATTATCACTCCTCAGTAAATTCTATTGGCTAGGATTTCAACAGGTTGTTCACGTCTGTCAAAAATGCTGACGTTCGAAACTTTAATTAATTAACTCCAATTAAGATGAAAAATGGACATGGTCATCATTGTTCCAGATATCTTTCCTCATTACATCAGACAGTGGGAATTAATTCACTTCTGTTCACTTAAAAAAAAAATGAACCCCCAAAGTTGAATATTATCTAATGGTCCATATTTTGAGGAACCTGCCTTATACGTTTTCCTTTTCGTTTTTGTTTTTGCAATACGGTCAGTCCCCTTCAGTAGGTCTCTTTGAAGCAGGACTGTAACAGTAGGTAACAGATCTTGCTGACTGTGAAGGTAGCCATGGAATAGCTCAAGGCACCTTCAGTTGGTAGGGGGTGTTTCCCAACTTGGCACAGTTTATATGCCCTAAGCAGGAAAGGCCAGGAGCCCACAGAGAAGTTCCTGGGTCTTTTGGAGAGTAGGCCAATCAAGGTGTAATTACCTGCAACTGGGATCTTGCTGAGGCCTGGGGTCTTACACTTTGTCAATTACCAATTGTCTTGAAACCAAGTCTGGACTGTTAACCACATGGTCAGTGACATACTCCAGGGGTTAGCAGTTCATGCCTATGTTTTTATTGTTAGGCTTCTGCCCAAGAAACCGGATATTTAATTATTTCGCTGGTGAATCAAGTATCCGGGTTATTTTAGATCAAATATTCATGAATGGACTTACAATGAATCATGAAATAAGGCTTCAAAAGATTTTGCTTATGATTTTGCTCATAATACATATTGTGAGCCACCAACCATTCATCTTGAAGACACTTTTCAACATCAACGTCAACAATTTGAACATTATTTTTCAGTCAATCAGTTCTTTACCATTACTGTACTGTGCCACATATATAATGCAAATTAACTCCTTATTCCAAAATTCCATAATCACACATACACTACATCGCAACTGAAAGTTAAGCTGTGAATGGAAATTCCTATCACGCCTTTTCCCTTCCCAAAGAATTCATATTCATTTCACAAACTGCAAAAAACTTTTCTTGAAGTGAAATATTCTCACAGATTTTCCAGCAAGTGGGAAAAGATATTCAGACTTTTGTACTTTTTGTAAGTGGTAAAATGCATGCATTTTCACAGATTTTCCTGGAAGTGGGGAAAAGATTTTCACAGATTTTCCTACAAGTGAGAAAAGGTTCTCACAAATTTTGGCATAATTAGGAAACACTTTTACAGATTTTCCCACAAGTGGGAAAAAGGGAGAATTTTTGTTTACACTTAGTTTTCTGTACTAATTTGTATACATGTATCCATACACATACATATCAATATTGTAGTCATTTGGCTTATGTGTTTAAGGTTATGTGTTCTGAGTACTTCAAAAATGTACATCTCCAAACATGGAAATCAGAGAATCATCAATCAAAGGCAGAAGTACAATGTTTCATTTGCTGGAATTCGAAGGAGAGTCAAGGCCGTTTATTTCTCGGTTTGGGTCAAGATACAAGGTCCAACATACACGTACCATTGAACCCTTGATTTAGTGCTAAGATTGGCTCCCGGCTAAACAATTATAGTGTATCTAATTCAGCAGCATGAACCAGTGTAAGAGCACTGCAAGTGCATTACGCCCTTTGGATGCAGGGAAAGAATTCAAGCCCCACTGAACACTATCAAATCAACAAAGTTTGAGGCTGAATTTGCTGGAATTCCTCAAATTCAGATTATTATCTTGTCCTTAATCTTTCCATTTCTGTTCAATTTTTGATGGGTTGGCCAATTACGTTTTAAATTTTTTCATACCAAACCCCCCCCCAAAAAGAGTGACAATAGCCAAGCTTGCTCGACCCCATTTCCAAAATGACGTCCCTCTACTATCGAGCATTTGGGACAATTTTTCAATCATAATTATTATGAATTCTGCCCTTGGATGGAAGCTCCCAAAACCAAGGAGTTTATCCAGGTGTATATTCAAACAATCCCACCATTTTTCAGCCAAGAGCAAGTTCAGACACAAACTACAGTTCAATCAGTGGTCGAATGCTTTTTAATAATGCGCATGCACAATTCAGGTACACTCAAACAACCCTGGTCAGTCAATTTTTTTAAATTTCATCGTTACATTTCACCTGTGGCTGTGATACTCACGGCATACATGAAAATCTGAAATCTCATACAAATATTTTCATATGAATGGCTCCCTCTGTAATGATAAATGAAATGGGTTATTGATAACCAGCGCTGCAACCATGCCCTTGAGCCTGGTCCCAAATGGTTGACTAGATAGTTCACATCATTCATTGTTCAGGCGGTATTAGTCAAACTATACTTAACTACATTCATCGATTGAACTTACCCCAAAGAATCTCCTTTTTCAAAGAAACTTGGGCACTTTGCAAGCTACTGACTTGGCAGAAATTAACAGATAAGGGAATCCACTTGGGATTCCACACGTAGCACTTGAAGAACTTTGCTATTGACTCATGAACATTGATCTCTTGTGGCATAATGAATTTTCATGTCTCTGCATGGCTTCTTGTCTCTCAGGATATGTCTATATTCTGTTCAGGGGTATTCTGAGTTTAAAATTTAAGAGTCTTCTCAAATTTTCTTGAAGTTTCCATGATTTTTACAAATTTCCATGACTTTTTGGGCCCTGGTAATGGAAAATTTAATTAAACTACTTTTTCAAGATTGTCTGTGACCACTGTGACCCTGTATTAAACAAAGATGTCATGTTCCATGACAACACAATTAGTCCATGTATTCCTCTGCCTGTAGTCACCTCATAGCTGTTTCTGTGGCCATGCACATGCATATGATCTGACCCAAATGGCTGGCTCTTTACTAAATTTCAGACTGCACCGCACTTTGCCAGTTCTTATTTGCACTGGTTCTGCAACAAGTATGCAGCATTTTCCCCATCAGTTTCACACCTTTTTCACTGTTTTCTCAAAATTTTTGTACTTTTTTCATACATCTGCCACATATTGATTTCGCAAGTATTTTATGCCGAGTTTGCAAAATATTCTGCACCATTTTGACACGATGTTTGCACTACTTTTATCCTTTTGCATCTTATTTGTTGCAAATTCGCAGAGGGAAAAGTAGTGAGCAAAATGCGAAATGAAATTTTTTGCCATTTCCATTTACAGAGCTCTTTAACTTTCCATTGCAATGTACAGTATGAACTTACAAATACATTCCCTTCCCCAAGTAATAGAAATTGCCTGAATTCTTACATCACCTTACGAGGGGATGCTGTTTGGCATACAGATGCCAAACTTTTCCCACAATGTGCGACAGAAACTAGTCTAACTATGGTAACCTGTTGGTGGCCCACAGTATTGGTAATAAGTCATTGCTTACCTATGAAAAGAAACCAGTGCCTTGGAGGTTAACTTCCCATTGCGACATAATTTATGGCTTATTTTCGGAATTGATCTTACAACATATCTTTAATTGGAATAATTTTTTTACAGTAATATTTCCACATACCATTAAGAAGCCTTTCTAGTTCCTCCGCAATGTCAACCATGGAATGAAAGTGTGAACATACATGTATAACAGAAAAGAGAGAATACACTTACCCATTATTGAAGACATTGCTGAAGATGAATGAGTGTAACTATTTGGAAGTCCTTCCATTATTCTATCATTCATGTTGCCATAGGTTGTACTGTGTGAGTGTTCATATCCCTAGAACAAATTAAAAGCAAGTATGGTTTGTCATGAATTTATTTATGGCTTAACAAATCAAAGCAATATACAGGTGTACACTATGCATATACCACGAACCAACATTTCAAACTTTCTTCTGGGTGAGAAAATTTCCGTTAACACGTGCACACCAAAGCACTCTAAGATACACATATAGGTCTCTGCTGACCCTACCTGAACAAGTAGTTTGAATGATGGGTGTAAAATACATCTGTAATATGACAAAGTTCCAAAATGTATGCTTGGTCTTATGGGGAGGGCACACCAAATGAAAAACTTTCAGCTAATCATATCTTTAGGTGGTAAGTAAAAAAAATTAATTACACTGTGATCCTTTTTGGCCAATCACAGGGCAGAAGCTGAGGTTAAGATACCCTCCATGGCTATAGTCCCGCATTGGCACAGTCAAACAGAACAAAGTTCTGCAAAATGAGAAATGGCATTAATATACCATTTGTGAGCTTTCAGCATGCAAATGCAAGTAATTGGTAAAGTGTAAAGTACATGTTCTTTGTAGTCTAGCGTTGAGATACATACTCATTTCAAATATGGCCTAAGATGGCCCTTTGTTCAGTTCCTGTCACCTGAAACCTGGAAAAGCCATGTCTCTGTGGGCTGACTGTGTGCCAGCAGGGACTCCACCAATATATGATAGGGCCACCAAGGGTCACCTTTCTGAGTTTACTCAGAAAACCTCACCTATGCCCCAGCCTAATCATATTTCAATTTTGTTGCCCTGTTCTGACCCCTGATACATATGCCTGAGCAATCCTGTTCATGCACCCTGGTCATTTCTAATTAAATCTACATCTACATGTACATATCATGGCTAGAAGTTACCGGGCAATAGTAATATTGGCATTTATTCCATGTAAATACACGTGCATGTGATCATCAGAAAATGTAATTCATTCAAATACCTGAAATTAATTAAAAACTCTGTAACAGATTTTTCAAACTTCGAGGTCAGTGGTATAGGTTTTCAGAAGTGAGATCAAACTCAAATGCTGGTTTTGCATGAGGTAATGTATAGCAATTACATAACTCTGCAATACAATTGCTCTAGAAGAAAGAAGACAAAGATACTTCCAACATTTTAAAACAAAACATACAGGGTATACATATCACAGGAAACAAACACAGGAAAGGGAGTGGGCCCAAAATGTATACAATAATCCATACATGTACCTTTCTCCAAAACATGTACATTATACCTGTCTGACCTAAAAGTACAGTACAAACATCTCTCACTGCATAGCAATAAACTAATGAGCAACCCTTTCTCAGAAACAGGTACACCTACTGAGGTACATCAGCTGAGTGACCAACAAGTGCAAACATCTTAGCTCATGAGAAACAAACTTTCAAGACATAGATTACTTCAAAGGGACTCACCCTTGAATCGAAGCTTGGGCTTTGCTGATTATTCCATGTGTTACCAGGACCATCTATACCTGCAAAAAGAACAAACATTTTTTACTTTAAAGACATAGGCTCATATCACAGGTTCAAAACATTTCTGCTAAATACCGGTATTTGAGAAGTACTGAATCCTACACATAAGTGTAAGTACCAAGATCACAAATCCACCAAAAGTGGTTTTAATTAATTACATGCGCACATGCATTATCACAGTTTAATCTCAACTGACTCAAACACGGATTGCAATACATATTAACTCATTTTGTAACAATTTGTTTAGGTTTGTGTTAAATCAGTTCAAACTGCAGTTACTTATTCCTACAGTCTTATTTCCCTTGATACGAGTATGTTTATTTAGAGCCATTCTGAATCTGTCCAAATACAGTACAATGTTGCAGTAATACAAAGGCATATGTAAAGTACAAACATCATACATACATGTATGTACTGTACATGTACATGTAGTTCTGCCGTTCACATTGATACATCAAGCCTTTGTAACAGAGAGAGGCCTTGGTGAACCAAAATACTCCCAAACTCGGTGTTGATTGGAGTGATTCTGGACCATTAGTGGCAAAATTTGTCTTGGCTTTTACAAATGTATTCTAGACCATTAGTGACAAAAATTGTTTTGGCTTTTAGGAATATACATATAGCTGCAGTTACTGGTAGATTGTAATATAACAGATGTTCAATGATGAAAACAAGCCAGGTTGGTGTAGTGGTATGATACATTTTGCATCTATAACCTGGGTATGAATCTCACCTAAGTCAGTACAATTAAATTTTCCAGTCCCTATCTAATTCCACGGTTCCCCCAGAATATTTGTCCAGGGTTTTCTTCCAACATCTAAACTGACCATTTACCTTCATGTTTCACCCTTCTCTATTACACTGAAAGACCTTCTTGGAGTATCCTTCCCAAAAGACAAATGAGTAATAAAACTCATACAGGTCTACAGATAAGACCAATTACTACACATGTTGAGTACCCACAGATGGTCAATTCCAACGAAATGCATGTGACATTCAGACAATTTTTTGAAATTCAAATCATCACACAGTAGAATTATAGTCTCCAAACAATTTTTATTGAGTTTATCACAAGCATTTAACTATCAGTGACATACACATTAAATTTATACAATTTTATTGAACGGCTGTAGAGAAAATGCACTCAATGTGAGCGTAACGCACAACAAGAAATGGACAAGGCATTTTGGCCTACTGATAATAATGAAAATTCTTGTGAGTTTTGGAAGTTTGAACAGACAGATTTTATATTTATTATTTACTATAAGTATGTAAAAACATCCCACTAGAACCCTCAAGCAATTGAAACTGATCATCAATCTTTTACACTGAGCCGCAATGTTGTTTCTGTCACTTGTCTTATATAAGGTGTCATGTCCATTACGCAAAGTGTAGCGTCCGTTACTCTATTTGTATGAAAACCAGAAGTGGTCAGGAATAATGGTTTAATGATTTAATCCCAACACAGAAACTATTCAAATTTTTCCTGGGAAAGTGAAACCACTGAAAGTACTTTCTTCCACTTAACAGGAAGTACTGGTATCATCATGTGGTGTACTGCCAAGTGGTCTGATCATGAGCCATCCTTGGTCACCCTGATTTGGAACAGCTTTTCATTTAGGAGTTATGTCAAACTGACAGGCAAGCCCCAATCCTGAAGGATGGTACATGTGCAAGGGTTATCAGTCCTTACAATTCTTAACGGAACCCATTTGGCAAACAAACTGTTTGTGGTGACCAGTGAGTGATACATGGTTCATTGCTCTCAGCATTGTTGTTTTATGCGGGATCTAAAGTCATTCTACATGTAAATGTATGTAGTATTGACCATTAATACAGTATTGTAAATACATTCATACACAAAGGGATAAAATGAGTGTTGAAGTACATGTAATTCTACTAGACACTTCATTTAAAAGGTGGCCCCTGCATTTTAATTGGTCAGTTTTGAATAACATGACAAGAAGACCTGAAAGCACAGATTTCAAATTGGTTTTCACTATATGTAAATTTAACAAAGGACTTAAGGGACTAAACGTAAATGGCAAAACTTTCAAAAGGAAACTTGTTTTTATAAAGTATATTGTAACACAGAAAAAGTTTAGCGATATAAATGTAGTGTAATTCAATTCTGCACCGTTTATTAAACATTTTGATCCGAGGCGCAACTGGGGTTATTTTGCAGGAGGGACAATTGTGGCTCTCAATAGATTCAATCACATTTAAAACACTGCTCAGGGTTGACTATTTAAGATTTTTCACCTTCTCTGAGTTTGGAGTGGGAGGAAATCACAGGGACTTAGGCTTCAAGTTACAGGGTTCCATCTACCTCTCAGAGAAGCTGAAACCACAGTTCCCTTTCCAAGAAATTTCTTTTTATGCAAGTATGCCCTAGCAGTTTAATTGATCTGTCCTGAAAAATAAAAATTGTTACATAAAACTGACCTAGTGTGTCTTTACTCTGAAAACACCAACACTTTATTTAAATAGCAGTCCAATCTCTTAATTAGCTCTGTTAGCAGACTAAAACTTTTCACTGTAGCTTCCGAAAAGGATTTTTGGGGTTGCTTTAAAATGGTTGAACTTCACTGCAGTTTAATTTTGATACTAAGTCTTGTTCTTTAATCAATGTCCATTTGACACAATGTTGCAAATGCTGCTCTGCTTTCTTTGGAGGGGGGGGGAATCTGTGCAATTTATGAAAATGGAATTTAATTTCATTACTGTAGAGGCACCTTGGTGGTTGTGGTTTTATGAAGAAGTGAAAGTTGTGTGGAATGGTGCTTCTATTGGTGGCATTGCTTCTGGTTTTAGTTTTCAAAAGACTGACTTAATGTGGAGTTGTTTTTCAATACTGCTGTTTAATCTGTAAACTGGGCACTGAATGGTGTAACCATTTTGTGAAGATCAGATGGGCCGACTCGTCTCGACAAAGCAATCGCATCTGTGACTTATCCTTTTGTCCCTTGGCAACAGAGGACTTGGGGGACTGAAGTTGTATCCAATCTTACATGGAGGCAGTTGAAGGATTTGCAGGATTTCTAGACATTTTCTGTGTGCAAACCAATGTAACAACTTTTTGACCTGGGAGAGTTACCAATTGAATCATCCCCCTTCCTCAATAAAGTGAGAGGTCAGGTGCGGAAATTAGCACCAGGCCATTACTGATCCTCTGTGAGGTTATGACACACTTTATTCCGAAGAAATCATCAAAATATTTACCATGGTGAGGGTAGGTTCGACAACCATTTCTCACGTTAAATGCCTGTTTTTATATGTTTCCCAACTTACATTTGCAATTTTTGAAAAGAAACTTCTGTCATTTTCCCAAGTTTTCTTCGCGTTTCGCTGTTTGCATAGGTGAAAACACATGCGCTGCGCTGCACCCATGCCAAAGAACGTGTGATGGAATTGTGCCAACCAGTCTACACTAGTCGATTACACTACATTGACCGTACATGCACACAACCCTACAGCTGCAGGTAAAAAAACATCAATGTTGCAAGAGGATTTCTGCAAGTTAATTCACCGAACTTGTCTATGTATGTATTCTGTGTGTTCAGGAGTTTAATTTGAGGTGATTTTGCTCGTACTTGAAGCGAGCAAGTTTCCATCAAATATCCAGCCAGGGTACGGGGTTTATCGCCTGCCCATTGGATGCATCATGGACACTTACCACGAGATACATGTACATCATTGGTCAGTTTCCTGCCATGATTACCTGACAAGCATTGTGTGAATTGTCCATAATTGTTGTGAATTGTTTTCTGTAGAAATTTTTACAAGGATTAAGACAAGTTTTTATCACTTTTTGAGGAAATTTGTTTTTAAAGCTTTTGTCCCCATTTATGCCATTTAATCAGCACAAAAAAGGGACTCAAAAATTTCTGACCTACTGACCCTATTTTTGAGAGGCATGTAATTGAAAGCAGAACTATTATTTTTTGGCCTAATATGACTTTACCTAAAATAGCTCCTAGGTTCAATGAAACAGCTTCCGAAAACTCCAGAAATCTGAAAGGCAAGGAGCTGTTTTAGCTTCTGGCAAAAATGCTTAATGTCGACCACTGTATGAATGGCAAAGTTTTGAATGCAGAAATTTGTATTAGCACCAACAAGGCTCAAAATCTGTTAAGCAATGAAACAAAAATGAGGGTTAAATGAGACACAGAGGTGCCTTTTCACAGGTTGGGGGGAAAAATTACATCAAATACATATGCTTTAATTATATTCAATAATAAACCATTTTTAACTTTTCTGATATGCACCTAAACATAATGAAATACCAGACATAAGAAATCATTGTAGTTAATACAGTATGCAACAGGGTGGGGACTTGAAAGCAGATGGTACAGTATGTGACAATGGTAACCAGTGCAGGTCTGTAGATTTTCCTCGTAAAGACACCATCATCAGAATAACATTCAACACTGCTTCCTACAACAGATCTCCAAAGTAAAGCAATTCCTTTTCAAGGAAGAAGTTAAGGGTCTTTTTTTTATATTTACTACAAAGGTAGTAGGAAGGTTAGACCAACAGAAAATGAAGACAAGCTGCGTGTGCAAACCACTTATGACATAGATCTCACTGACTTTCACTTATTATCTACTGTTGTTCATGATAATTACATATACTTAGTACCCTCACTGTTATAAACTGTCCAATCTCATTCTTTACAATCACTTTACTTCATACATCATGTTTAGCATTGCCGAGGCATTTTAAGATGAATAGTATTTAGATACAAGCATAGCCTGTGGATGTTTTCATAAATTTGATAAATGATCAGGAGTGTTTGCAAAATCAACACACATCCTGATTATTTAATGTCATGCCCCTTGTGAAATATGGCTTGTTTGTGGATATAAAAGCCAGGCCCTGTTACCTTTGGTGTTGGACAGACCCTCTTGCATCAATAAACTGACTACCTGGTTGTCAGGGATGATCATCATCATACCTCTACTTGACTTGCCACGTGAGTAACATATTATTATGTACG